GTTAGAAAAAGTGTTAATTTTTATTATATTGATTCATACCAGAGATAGGTTTGCTAAGAAACCAAAAAAGCTGAAAATGGAAATCCAAAAATGTTATGAGCAAAAACACTTTTTAAAAAATTAAAAAAATATTTGCAATTTTAGCAAAAACAAAGAGTATGTATAGGACGAATTTCCAACAGAATGTTATCAACGCTTTAATAAAAATATCGATGCGAGATTTTATTTGTTTATTTAAATTGTGTGAATATGAAACTCAATCTGTGATTTTTAGATCTCGCGAATACAAACCTCGGTATTTAATTTTAAAATCACGTTTATACGAATCTCGATATTTGATTTTAAAATCACGTAAATACGAATCTCGGTGTTTGGTTTTATAAACGCGTGAATACGAAATGTCATATTTGATATAAAATCGTAAAAATATGAAGCATGATGCGCGATTTTAAATCGAGTATCGCGATGTGTGATTTTAAATCAGATAAATGTCATTTTGAATCGCGTTTGCAGGTAGGTAGGGAAGGTAAGAAAAGAACATAAAGATAATTTTCCCCTCGAGAATTCGAAAAAAGAACTTTTTCTGAAAAGGTGTTATTTTTTTAATTATTAAAATAAAAAAAACGAGTAAAGCTCAATATTTGATTTTAAAATCGCATGAATACGAAATGCGATATTTGATATAAAATTGTGAAAATACGAAGCATGATGCTTTAATCGAGTAAAAGCGAACCTGATGTATGATTTTAATCAGGTAATTGAAATTTTAAGTCTCGTTTGCAGGTAGGTAGGAAAGAGCGTAATAACAAATCTTTTTTTCTCTCAGCAAATCGAAAAAAAAAACCCTGAAAATGTGGACTTTTTTTAAATTTTCAAATTGAAAAAAAAACTTACCCTTGATAAAAGCATTTCTGACGTAATCGGCGGCTGAGCGAAGCAGAGAAAATAAAATCGCAGGCCAATCTATGGCAGATTGACCCAACTCGTTAGGATTTTTTTACTTCCTTTTTTTAGTAGTAGTATAAGTAGTAGCATTAGAAAACTTTCAGCGCGTTTGTGTACATTTTAGTACATATCTGGTAATGGATACAATTGTGAACAAAGTATCACTTCCGTACTAACGGGACACTCTTTTCCTAAATATTTGTGTTTCGTTCATTTTGCTTGATATCTTACTTTTTTTTATTAAAAAAATGTATTTGTCAAACATTTATAACATTTAAGAGGCCTCATTCCTCGCCACCTTGAAGTTTACGTTAAATTTTTGATATTCAATTACGGCATCACTTTATTAGATTAGCAGAAATATTGCCTGCTAACTTTCAGAACATGGAAAGATTTATTCCCAAGCAAGTAAAGAAACAAAATTCCGCCTTCAGTAATCTGAATTAGGACTTTTGAATAGTTATTTTTTTATTGTTTAAACAGATGAAATCAAATTTGGATGATCCGAATTTTTTTTCCCTTGCAATAAATTACGCAGAATTTTTTTTTTCCCAAAAATTTAGACTCTCAAAAATATACAAATAAATAGCCTTGTCAATATACTAAAAATTCTTGTATAAAACTTAAAAAATTATTACAAATATGTTGCTAGCTTTGAAAAAAGTCCGTTAACTTTCTGTTCTAGACTGAACTAGCTTCAGTTTGTAAGGTCGAAATTTTTTACGAATGTGATTTTTGATTAGTTATATGTTTTAAATGGGTTGTTAAAAATGAGTTCTTTTGCTAAACCACGATTTAAAATCATAAAATGTCGCTAAAAATCCCTACAATTAAAACAAGTCCCTTAACTATTAATTAATTTTGAAAAACGCAACAAATTTTTAATTTTTACCGTAATATGCAGAGGAATAAGTATCAAAATTGGTGCAAATGACCCATTATAAATATAAAAACCATTTTTTTTCCTTCAACTTTCTTCTGTTTTAGAAACTGTTAAAAGGCCTCTTTAACTCAATTATAGTTCCTTAACAATTATCAGACTACCGAAATATTTTTATCTGTAAAAGGCACTACGAAGTTTGAAAGCAAATATTAGAATTCGAAAAATGTGATTACATCATTGTTATTTTGAAGTGATTATTGTGCTATTTGCTTTATTTGAACCTGCTTTGGAAATGCTAAGGGGTATTTAATTTCAGAACATTGAAAAGTCTGAAAACATTGTTGCTGTAATTTATTATTGTATTTGTTTATAGATGTATTATTTCATGAATAAATTTAAGTCAAGTAATCAACATGGTTTTATTCGAATGTTTATTTGTATATTATTTTTATTGATATTTTTTACGAATTCCATAAATTAGATGAATTTCTTTAATTTAAAGTAAACTGAGGATTTTAAATTAATGTTGGTAAGTTAAATGGTTTCAATAATGTTTTTTCGTATTACTGTATTTTTAAAAAAATAAAGTATACTTTTTTAATATTAAAATAAATCGTTAACTAAGATAACAATCAACTTTTGTTATTCTAATGTTACACATACAACAATTATGTTATACATATCGTTACCCATTAATGGATGTTTTTAAAATGAGTTTTCTGTGATTTTTTTTGTCTTAAAATTAACACAAAGCTCTATTACGTAGTTTTAATTCCTTATTAACAATGCGTTGCCATAATTGAACTTATTAAGATTTTATTTAAGTGTGTATTTCATACATTACCAATTAATTGTTTTTAATTTATATTCACAACATTGGTCATTAAATTTACATTTACATTATTAAATTTATTCTATTTCATAATTAAATATAGTCATAAGCATTAAATTAGGTAATTAAAAATTCACATGATTGAATGAATACAATTTATATTAAAATTTACCTGTAAGAAATATTCTTGTAAAATTACTGTACCTTATGGTGATGACATTTCTGAAATTATAATTCGGGATATAAAAATCACAATTCATTTGGTAATGGTTTACCAGAAATTCTGGTTTTCAAAGTTATAATTCTTATTACCACTTGGAACTTAAGCACTCGGAAAAAAATTACGGAACATTTTCGTGTTCCCATAGAATTTACATTCATTTATTTATCAAATAGAGTTTTTTAAATTTGTCATCTTTTTTTCCATCTCAAAATAAAAATCCTTTAACCTTAATTACTCGACAATTTTACTTTGACTTAATGGATTTTTGTAACAATAAACTTTATAAATTTAATAAAATAGAAACATATATATGGACATAAATTTCGAAAATCATTTTGCGTTTATACATTTTATCCTTAAATGGTTTTATTTTGTGAAAAATAAGGACGTGCTCAAATTTCCTCCGTATTCCTCATCTGATCTGCCCTTTCATGCGTTTAAATAAATGTTTGGCAACCAAATGGAATTTGCTTGTAATGCATCGATCTTTTCTTCCTCTCTTTACCTTAAGTTTTGGAAAGTTTCCATCTAGGGCAGGAAGGAATTTGTTATTCTTTATTAATTTTTTCAGCAAAAAGTTTTTTTTTTCGTGGTTGTACAATTTGTTGTTAGGTGGAGTTTAGACTAAAAGGTTTTGTCTGTAAAAGAAACTGCATAATGAAAAACAAACGTTTTTCTTTCATTTAAAGTCATTTTATATTTTTAAAGATGCACTTCTTTTGTATTTAAATGAATAATAAATTAAAGTATAGGAGAATTTTCGATAATTCTTTTTTATAAGCTTTTAAATGTTACCCTTTTTACCACTTATTACAACAATTTATTGACTAAAAATGTTTTATATGTGCTATGTACTAAAAAATATTACTTTAAATTGAAAAAAAAATGACAACAAACTATTTATAAACTATTACTTCAATTTATGGCCTTAAAAGTTTTTTTGCAATAAAAAAATATTTTTTTGAATTGAGAAAAATGGAGAATTTTATTTAGTGAATTATTTGTTAATTACAAACGATTTCCGATTTATGAATTATTACTTCAATTTTTCTCTTGTAAGTTTCTTTGTAAGTCCTAGATAATAAAAAAATATTACTTTAAATTTAATAAAAAACTTATTTTTTATCAAACTATTTGTTTATTACAAACAATTCCCTAAACTATTGTTGAATTTTTTTTAACACAAAACTTCCTAGCCTGTTCTATATACCCGATAAAAAATATTAATTTGAATTGAGAAAATAATACTATTTTTTTATAGAACAACTCGTTCTACATTTTTTTTTATCAAACTATTTGTTTATTACAAACAATTCCCTAAACTATTGTTGAAATTCTTTAGCAAAGAAGTTCCTAACTGGCCCTATGTACCTGATAAAAAAGATATTTATTTGAATTGAAAAAATATTACTAATTTTTTGTAGAACAATTCGTTCTTCATTTTTTATCAACCTATTTATTCGTTACAAACGATTCCCTAGACTATTGTTGATATTTTTTTAACATAAAAGTTCCTATCATGCCTTATGTACCCAATAAAAAATATTACTTTCAATTAAGAAAAATAATGCTAATTTTTTATCGAACGATTCGTTCTTCACAAGCAATTTCTTATTAACAAACTACTTATGCAATTTTTTTGTCATAAAAATTTCTTACTATGCTCTGTGTCCATTCCGCATAAAATTAAATTATTTTGTCTTTTTGTTATAAAACATTAAAATTAAAGGCATCGTTAGCAATCATCATATAGAGCATAAAACTGGGTCAGCTAAAAGAGGCTGTAAAAATTGCCATACTACTATTGACGTCAGTGTGGCTTTATTAATTGGAATAATTATTACTACTGGTATCGTGTTACTATATAATAGGGATTGTGGTTATCGGTACCTAAAATATTAATGTAGGTACCTAATACTGTGGTAATAGATTTTTTTTTATCTTTTCTTTAACAAATAAAAGTATCCAAAACTGTTTCTTATTTCCAGTTTAAAATATTTCTTTTTTCCTTTAATGCTAAGTTTTTAATCTTTTTCAGAGGTTTTAAGTTTTTTTGAGGTGTTATTTATTGTATTCATTTTATTCTTAATTTAAGTTTAATTTTTTGTAATTTCTAGGCTTAAAGAAGCTGATTTTCCTCTTCGCCTGCTGCCTGAAGTGACGATTGCAGGTAACATAGTAGGTAGAATGCCTACAGCCTGGTATGGCATACCTGCAGGCACACCTGTCTTCGCAGCTCTGGGTGATTTACAGTGTTCAGTTTTCTCCAGCATGGAAACAGATCATGATGCAGGTAGCCATCATATTTTTCTTGTCAACTCTAATGAAAAATATTGAGGCTTTTTTAAGGGGAAATTTCTATGAATTCAACTTCATAATGCTTATACCCGGTGATATTGGATTCGATTTTCATCATACGGGCATTTGGTTTAAATATCTTTCTAGGCATCATATGAATGATAAAACCTGGGGAATATAGTTTTTGTTGCATTTATGTAAATACCCTATCTTGCATAATTCGGGTGTGGATATTTCAAATATGAAATTAATTTTTCTCTTAAAGCTAGTGTTTTTTTTAAAAGTCGTTTTTTGTTTTTTTGTCGAAATGTACAAGTTTGAAGACGTTAGATATTACAGAGGGTTGCATAAACGTTGAGAAAAACTTCTAAGAAAGTTAGAGTACATAATCAGGATTAAAATTGCATGGAAACCCACGTCATCGTACGCATCTACTGTACTGTTACCTCTCTAATTAAATTTTCATTTACCCCGTGATCGATAATGTGAACTCGGTAACAGTGTCTCCCAGTTTCAAAATAAAATTGAGAAATATATTCAGAACAATTATCATTTACAAAAATTTATTAAAACCTAAATTATGTATATATAACAAGCTCAGTCCATTTCCAAATGTCAAACAACCAGCCAATTTATACAAACAGCCAGACAATATAGGCAAATAACTGATCTGAGTTTGCAACAGTAAGTCAGAAGAGGCCAAGTTTAGTTTATCTTTAGCCAGTGCCTTCGATGGTTTATTCAGAAAATGACGCAAAACGTCAATATGAAGAAGAGTCACACTTTCGAGAAAATGAAAACGTTTGTCGTTTAATTAATTAAAATTTACTCCAATACTTCATTGTCTGGGTTCATAAAAATTTGCAAAAAAATGAGAATATGACATTGATTGTTTTAATTTTGATCTAGCTGAAAAAATGTCGCTAAATTGGGGATTTTTAAAGAATTTTAAAATATTTCTGTTATTGGTCCGTCCTAAAGACCGGATAATTCTTTACAGCAGTATAAAATTTGGAATTTTTTATTTTCTCATTCTCTAATAAGATTTTATTTTAAACATTAATGTTCTACAACTTTGACTTGTAAGAACTAATCCTGAAACAACAAATAAAATACTCTAATGACTTTATTTATAAAATTGTATTAATTCTATGATAAATTTTGGTGTTATATACATAATGTAATTGTTTTTTAACTAGATCTCATTAATAAAATAGAATAAAAATATTAAAAAATACACATATTCCAAATTTACTTAAAATGTTTTATTTCAATGCAATTTTAAAGTAATTTTTTTTATACATGACATTTGTCAGATCGTTAAAGTTTTGAAAAATGCTAACGTAATGTCTTTCAGTTAATGATGTTTTTTTTTCTCTTAATATTACGAAAGAGTTGTATATTGTTTAGGCACATACGTGCTTTCTTTTTTCTCTTTAATACACTTCTTAATCAACGTTTTTCTTTTAGTATGCACTTTTTTTATTCTCTGTCCGTAAAGAAAAATGAAGAATTTAAAATGTAGTTCTTTTTATACTCAAGTTAATTGCACTTTTTTGTCTTCAGAAAAGTCTTTCATGCCAATTTAGCTCATTACACTTAATGATAATTACATGGGAAGAAAAAAAAAGTTTTTTCGCCAATTTTTTCGTCATATATATATTTTTTTTATAAATTTTTATATTAAGGTTCTAATTTTAAATTGAACTCTATATATTTATCTATGAACATATTACAATCTGTATTATGTTGATCTATATATCGTATTAAGTATTTACGTTAGTTCAATAATTATTACACATTCGAGTTTACATAATGGAATATATTTTTACGAGAATCTATTGTGAAAAGAAATTGTTTTGTAAAGTGCCTAATTGTAGGGGAAAAACTATGAATTTCTAATTTTAAATAAGAGTTTGTTATATTATTAATTAGTTTGAATATGTACAAAAAAAAATTCGTGTATCTGAAACCCAAAATGGTGGCTTACCATTAAATTCGAGGAGATAATATACGACAGTGTTTACTATGTAGTCTTTGATTATCTGTGTAGGAAAAATTTCTCCTACAGTAATTCTGAGTCAAAAGTACTTTTTATATTACTGTTTATTATTATTACCGTAAAAGTGCTTTTTATATCGCGTGTTTAGAATACAGCCGAAATTAAATTATTTAAATTTTTAAACAATTAATCATTTCATTTACTCAGTTCTGGTTCCTAAAATACTCAAAGAAGAAGGAAAAAAAGGATTTTTTAACTATTTATTTTCTATAAATATTTTTGGCATCATTAGTGCTTTTAGATCTATCATTGTCGAATCTAAACATGGTTGATGGAGCTCAAGTTGTTTATATCATCGTGAAACTTCTGTAGCATTGTGTATTTATGACAACTTTTAAAATAATCAGACATTTATCATTCCGCGTAAAGTTTCCAAAACAATAAAAACAGCGTGACTGACATGACAGGCAGATGTTGATTTTGGCTCACTAAAAATGTCACCCAAATAAAAATTTCATATTTTTAAGGAGAAAACAAAGGGGGAAAACACCTCGTCTGTTGGCACTTTTATATAGCGGCACGCTCATTAAATTTAGTGAAGGTTTTTTGCGGTGTGACTAAATTAAAGAAGCTTAGAATAAGTCTAAATAGTAGTATCTTTAGATTTGACATTTATTTTTAGAATTATTCGAAATGCAAATTATTTTGCATATGTACCATCAATAGCTCTCTTCATTCGCCATCTTGGATTTTTGGTTAATTTTCGTTTTCCCGATTTTTTTTGTTCTTATCATACCACAAGACAAATTTTTTTTTTAAATAAAAGGTTGTGAATTAAAGACTACTAACAAGGGAGACTAGGGAAGTGTGACTCGTCAATTTTGAAATAAACTAGTGGGATGTATGCCTTATGAGGAATAATTTTAGGGGGCAACATTCGTTTCGGTCCATATAAGGTCCTATGAGAGAAAAAAAATAATTCAATATATAGGAAAACCAGTATTTTATTACTTCAATGTAGACTGTTAGTTATTGCAATTATCTCATACTCTAATTAATTTGCAATTAATTGGTTAATTAATTAATCAATTAATTAGAAAATTAATTAACTATTAATCAATTATTACTTAATTATTAATTAATTTATTTATTTGCAATTAATTTACTCCAATTAATTTGGAAAATTTTTTGGAAAAAAAAATTATGCTAATTTTTTTAAAGCAATAAATACGCATTATATAGTTCGTGAAAGTACCACAAAATTATTTGGGGTATGAGATAATCACAATAACTAATAGTGTGAATTGAAGTAATAAAATGCCGATTTTTCTATATATTGAATTATTTTTTATCTTTCATAGGACCTTCTATGGGCCGAAACGAATGTTGCCCCGTAAAATTATTTCTCATAAGGCATACATCCCACTAATTTATTTCAAAATTGGCGAGTCACATTTCCCTAGTTCCCTAGTCTCCCTTGTAAGATATCCAACCCACGTTACGCGTGTCACGGCCGGATGTTAACAGTGGCACGCGAAGACTTATTGAAAAACATTAATCAAAGTCACAATGAGCAATAGATTTTCAGCCAAAACACGTCATATCACTACTACTCAAATTATATTGAATTTGAAAAAGTTATACCAACTAATGAGAGATAAGAAATAAATATTTTCCATAATGAAATTAAAATATAGTTCTAGATAATCTGATATGGTAACTAAAATACTTTATTTTGTTATCCTATTATAATGCTTTATTTGTAATCCAATTATAAAAAAATTAGTGAAAAAGCAACACATTTTTCACTTTTTTATATATATACATATTTACCTTGTTGAAAAAATTAGAAAAACATTAAATTTCTGAGAATTTTTACGTTATTTTCTCAATACTCTCCACATGTCAATGCTCTCAATACTTGCACATCGCCATCACTTTTATGTTATTTTCCCATACTCGCAGACTTACTTGAGCATATAAGCTTAGTGAGCTTTAGTTGTGCGTTTCATTTCATTAGGAGATTTCATCTTCTATTTTTCAAACATTTTATAACGATGCTGTTTCCAAGATGCTGTTTCCACTTTGAAACAATAGAAGAACACGTTTTTACAGATCTCATGCGAACAACTCAACGTAGAGGGATGAAAAATATCACAAAATAATCTATTATTATTAGCAATCTGTAACAAAAAACGCCATGCCAATCAAAATACACTGAGGAAAGCTTACTCTTTAACTATAGGTTTTCTATAAATGAATTTCGTATTTTCGATACTGGGTCTTGAACTACACGGAGACAGAGAGTGGCGATTGCTTACAAACCACTCCATAAAAATTTACTAATTTCAGGAAGAAGAAAAACACGATTCAAATCGGAGTTACCGTTCTTGAGTCGTTAACGAACATACAAACAGACTTTCACTTTTATGTATCTAGGTGCAGTTTTATGTGTAGTTTAGAAGATGTAGATGTTTAAAAGCTTCACGTTTAAGGTTTTTCTTTTTATCGCCATAGAGATTTTTTAATTAATTAAGCCAAACCATTACTCACTTCTCTCTAGTTTCGTGTATTTGAATAGAAAATCGGAGGTCGACAACTTATTGTACATGCGGTGCAACGAGGTTATTCTATTGCATCAGAAGTTTATAGCTACTATTATGTTTCTGTATTAATTTTATTAAATAATATTTTTCTGCCTACATTCAAGTTGCTTACGTTAAATGTTTATCTTTATTTAGTGATGAATCTGAGCACATCGGCTCAATTGTCTTTTCTATTACCGGAAGACTTCAAACCACCACCTACTGTGTCTACATCTTCTATAGAGTACTTTCCTTATTTTAAAGGAAGATATCTGGCAGTGGCAGCTTCCCTGAATGGTGGAAATGTCTTAGCAGCATTTGTGAAGATGCTTCAACAATGGACACATGAACTAGGTAAGTACCTGAAACCCGAAGACGTATTTGATTTTGTTCCATATTGAGGAAGAAAATCACTAAAACCCAGGGCTAAAGAGAATAGAAGGGCTAGTTCACTCCGCTTTTAGAGCTGAAGCTACGATTTCCCTCCTCATGACGTCACTGTGTCCACAGATCTCGGAGATCGCAAGCAAAGATATTATGATAACTTTGTATCTTTCTCTTTGTAAAAATAAGTTAGACTTTTTCTGGTTATTAGATTTCAAACTTTACGTAATTAACACATTATTTCCGTTCATAAACATAGTTCAAAAAAACTTTCTTGGCCATTATATTAAAAAAAAATACCATTTTAAACTTATAAAAATGTTTTACTAGTTGGCGAAAATGACACTATAAATACTTTATTTTAAAAAGTTCAGTTTTAACTTTAATTATTAAGAAAAATGAAGGCATATATCGACACTTTTTTAATCTACATATTCTTTTATAACAAGTTGAGTTAAATTTAGAATTCCTGATTTTAAAATATGCCGTTAATAGCAACATTTGAAGAACACCTAAACATAAAATTACTGTAGAAAAAGAAGAATTTTTTTTCAATTACTTGAAGTATTTCGGTATCAGAATGAAATATTGCCAACTTTTACTTGTTGGCTTTGGCTAAAGAAGTGTTTTGTTTACTTTAAGAAGTTGCTTTAATTTGACTCTAAATTCATAACTATTCTTATCACAGATCGCGAAAAACTCGTAAGCACCTGTAACTTTAAGATAGAAAGATGAACTTCTAAGTACCTTCCAAGATTGTTGGGCGATTGTAAAGGAATAATGTATCTCCCCTGCATGTTCATGAATAAGCCCATGCAATGTTAAGCTTACTTTACATTCAGGTTGTTTCTGTAATGTGTTCTATAAGATTTTGTACAATAACGTTTAGATTTTGAGTAATTACGTTGATAATTTGTAATCTGAAAAACTTTGTTTATTTTGTTAAAAATCATTTTATTTTAAATACTCATCAATTAACTTTTATCATAACAGGTTTGGGTGTCCCAGAAGGTAAAATATGGGAAAGAATCACGGCCTTGGCCCAGGACGAATCTTCAACTGATACAGAAATGGAGATCTCGCCAACCCTATATGGTGAGAGACATCTGACTGGAGAACAGAGAGCTGTAGTTCGAAACATCGATCCTCATTGCTTGGGCTTAGGAAAAGTGGCAAGAAGCTTGTTCAGAGGTTTAATCTCCAATCTTAGATCAATGATGCCAAGAGACTTTTTAATTGAAAACGGAATCACCAGAATTATTGGCAGTGGCACAGCTCTCACTAAGAATCCGAATTTACAAAAAGAATTAGAAACTCAATATGACTTACCCATTGTCTACGGCACAGGTAGCGATGCGGCTGTGGGAGTAGCTCTTGCTGTTCTGCCTTATTTGTGACGACTTGTTCGTTACGTAAGAAATTTACCTTTGTATAAAGTGAAAGGTATCATTCAATGTTATAGATATCCCTCTTGCACAATCTGCATCTAAAACTGTTTTAATAATCCGAAATTGCAAAATGACCATCTTATTCTTTTGCTTTTTCGCGAATATGAGCTTCAAGGTTTTATTACTATCAATGCATTCAGTATTATATTTGGATTTGTATTGTACGATCTGCTAAGGAAAAAGAAATACTTACTTTTTACTGATTACTAATTTTTACAAAGTTGATGTCATTTTTATTGACTTAACCGTCACGACAAAATCTTTCACAAGGAGCCTTACCGGTAACGAGAAAAAAATCGAGTGTAAAACAATTTTATTTCTAACTTGTTTTTTAGGACAGTAAAATATCCATGGCTCCTACTATTTACTAACTTACGTACAGTGCGTAAAAAGAAAAACTGACCACCCTGAATAACTTTTGATCTAATGATTGAATCTTCACGTACAAGTACTCAATCTTAATGGTTCGAAAGATTGACCTTAAATATCCAAGTTAATTAATGCAGACGATATTTTAAGTTACGGAATCAGACATAAAAACTTACTTTCTCTGAATAAACATTCCCTTTTAAGGTCTGATCTTGGATTTTAGACTTCTAAAATATTCGCAGTCCTGGAAATATGGTTTCCATAGTTTAGTCAAGAGAGCGGTCCTAACTTAGGAACTCTTAATGCTAATTTTACTATTTTGCTTATTTTACCATATCCCAAGAACTTTTCAAGCTAATTGAAAAATTTCTGCACACATTTATAAAATTCGTTAATCCAAAGATAATTCTATGCGAAAAATGAAATTTAGTGAAAGTTTATTATTTTTCACTATTTTATTGAATTGTAGTAAAACTATTTTAAGTTGAAAGATATACAATTTTTTATGGCAAAATACAAAATTTGAGCGAAATCGGTCGAGTAGTTCCTGAGGAATCGAATGTTTAAAGTACGACTATTTTAAAATTTGATCGGAAATCTGAATTTATCATAAAAAAAGGTAAATACGTTTTGTCTGATATCGTAAATAATTTATAATATCGTCTGCACTAACTAATTAGCATATTTGAGGTCATCTCCTCAAACCAATAAGATTCAATCCTAGAACATGAAGATCCGATCATTAGATCAAATGTAAATCAGAGTAGTCCGTTTTCTTTCCTTTTTTTTGCACTTAATGTTATCCTTTTAAGAGGTACTCTTCTCGAAAACATGCTCGAAATAAAATGATTTTACTACCAGTTTGAACCAAAAATTGAAATCTTTAAATAATTCTAAATAACTATTTTTTCAATTGTTCAAACATATGTACTTGAAATGAGATATTAAATATTCATTTAAATAATATATAAGTTTGTTTATGATGCCAAATCATATTTTCTCTTTGAAATAGTTCTTTAGCAATATTTTTCGAATTAATTTAATAATAAATGCTTTATTCCATCCAGTATGTTCTTACAAAAGATACTTTTGAGCTTAATGCTTGCAGCATTGCATTATTATAAAACTAAAACCATTTTGTCCTCATAATCTTTGTGTGCTAATTTTGATGTTATTATTTTTTATGAAAAAAAGCCGATAACATTGTTATATTCTATGAATTTTCATTATTCTATTTTTTCAATAGCACAAATTTGAATTCAGCACATTTTATAAAGTTCCAAAACTATCTGCTATAGTTTCCTTTAACAGATTCTATTTTGTGATATTTTTTCTCAGATCCGCTAATATCAATTATAATATGCCATTTATGTGTAATTAATTCTTATACTTTAAATATGTGTTCATTTTAATATATAAAAGCAATAAAAGATTTATAACTCTTAATTTTTCTCTTAAATAGATACTTTACTTGATAGCACTTGCATAGTAATTAATCTATAGTTTGTTTAGATTCATGCTCATTTCTATTTCATAATATAATTAGTAATACTATTTGAATGAATTGTGTTCTTGAATCTAGCTTTATAACTATTGATTATATTCAACAGCAAAATAGTAGTTTTTATAACATTTTAAAAAAGTCTCCTAAAATAGTGCAATTTAAATGTTTTTAAAAACCATAAGTTTGAAAATGGCTATAAAATTATTATAAATGTTTCATATTTATTACGTATACGATGAAAATAAAACGCTACTGAAATAGTTAAGTCAAACGAAGATTACAACGAAAAATATGTCTCTTGCTTTGTAAATTCTTTTGCCTGTAAAGTTTTCTGTGTATTGTAAAGTTTATATTAAAACAAAAATCGTTTTCTGTTGTTATTTATCTGTTTAAATCCACCTCGAATTACACAATTTGTCACAAAATTACATCACTATGACAATATTCAATAAATAAACCAAAGAAATCGATGCAGTAAAATAGTACCTGATTAAAAACTTCAAAAAATATATGAATAGCAAATTGCATTTCCTTGCGTAATGAGGAACTATTGTCGTTAACAAGGGAATCAACATTCATTTGAATAAAACGAGATTCCAATTCATCAGAGTTGATGTGACTGAGTGGATATAATTTTGGCATTTGTCGAAATTGAATTTATGTCCAAGATTCCAACAAGGTGCAGCGATTGATGATTTCTTGATATCGGACATATCTGTCGTATTCCTTAAGTTTTAAATCGCGTCTAATTTGTCCGATGTAGCCAAAGTCGCACTGATAAGGAATGTGACAAATGTGGCGTTTTTTAATTCTGTTAAATAAAGAATAAATAGAAGTCTTGCTTTTAAACAAGTAACATTTTATTATTAAAATAATTTAAGAAATAACATAACTATCTTAAGCCAATTTAGCATTACATAACTATTTTAGAATTAGAATATACAATTAATTCAACTTATCATTTTAATATTAATTATTACGTGCTTTTAGAATAGATAGAGAGAGACTTACCAAGTTTAGTCATGGTTTCGGTTTCAGCACACTCTGGCTGATTACTCTTTTGATTGTTTCCCCAACCCTTTCCTTCGGCTACTTTTATATCGTATTTTTTGCGTGATAAAAAGTTGCAAAACTGAGAAAAGGTCAAGTCCAAAAGTTATTGTTGTTTTCGAGTTTGTCCCATGATGGGGGTGACATTGTAAGATTTAAACCTAATTGTTTATTTGAATTACTTTATCCGTATTTAAGTTACTATTTGCCGATGGAGATTTCCCACGGTAGTTTTATTTAATCGAAGACTTTGAAATGTTCTAGACATCTAATTTTAGCCCTTTCGCTTGATTTTAATTTTGAGTGACGATAAGCGTCACACAAATGCCCCAGAGATTATCGAAGAGTTTTCAGCAAAGATTAGAAGAAGAGCGTTTGAGTCTAGTGAGTTTAGAAACTGTTGTATCAACTGTAGAGCAACTATATTAACAACAGCTGTATATAAGAAGGTGTAAACCCACGGTTAGCAGCAAGCGAGCGGATTAAGTTAAGTCAGGAGTTTAAAAAAAGAAGAGCAAAGGTTAAAAACGAAAGTTTTTATTTATTATTATTTCCAATGGACATAAACAGGGGGCAGGACAGAAACAAAGGAGGAACAACATCATAGAGAAAAGCATCAAAAATTTCAAGAGATAGACGGCTATCTCTCCAAAAACATCTTCTACCTTCCCAATATCTACACAGGCAGGCAGGCGATGTTTGTCCATGGGCTCATTCTTGTCATACAGGAAATAAGCAGCCTCATTAAGAATACCAATGGGCGGCAAGACAATCCTGCCAGTAAGTAGACGGAAAGAAGCCATTGCCTCCGATCGTAGTTCATCAGGAATATCCAATTAAGCAATCCTTTCCGTATTTGGTTTTCATTTTACACATAAGTTTATCTTGGAACGTAGACTGCATAATTGTTTAATATAAAGGGAAAACGAAAGTATGAAATGCCGAAATTCTGTATTCTATCTTCTGACTCCATTGTTACCTTCCTTTGTGCAATATTTTATTTTAATTTAAAGTGTCACATGATGAGTAAAGAAAGACAACCAAAAGTTTGAAATTATATATAAAGGTACTTTTAAGCTAGGATCCACGCTTGTTCCCGCGCCAAATTAATTAAAAAAAGATCAAGAGATGGCGCTGGGAAGAGTCATGTGTATTAAGTGAAATAGAAATAAAAAAGATGGAGGAAGAGCAAGTCGTGTGTCCTTTATTGTGGTAAAAAACAAGAAAAAAGAACCAGCTAAAAAGTTTTTCTGAACGAATATTGTTCAGATCGTCCGTTGTCAGCCTGAAGGGGAATCCCGGTGAGCTCTTTCCAATCTTTATTTGAAATAATTAGTTAGGTGAATTTGTTGTTATAAAGTTTAATTGCATATTTTAAAATGGACGCATTAAAAATAAGAAAAAAAGTTTTGAAATCCGCTTTAACGCGGCATAAAGATAAAGTTGCGTCCACGTTAAAAAGTGTTGATAGTATACAATTAAAACTTTTTGAAACTAAAACTAATGAAATTTCAAATGATTTAAAATTAGTGTTTAATGGAATTTTTGAAGCTTGTAGTTCGGACGAGTTAGATGGTTATATGGAAGAAAAAGATAATATTGATGATTCTATCGATGAATTAAAAATAATGATTAACCGTCAACTGTCCGAAATCAAGGGCGAATCTTTGAATTTAACTACTCCTGTAATAAGCGGTAGCATTAATGATATAAAATTACCAACACTTTCGATTCCAACCTTTAATGGTAAAATCGAAAATTGGATAATGTTCAAAGATATATTTAAAGCTAGTGTAATTGAAAACAAATCCATTTCTAACGCTATGAAATTGCAATATCTTAAAGGTAGTTGTAAAGATGAAGCAATAAGGGTAATAAATTCAATTTCCATTTCGGACGCAAATTTCGATATCGCGTGGAAATTATTAGAAGAAAGATATTCGAATAAACGTGAGCTATTAAATGCTATTATTAAAAAACTTGTGAATCAACCGAATATCACTGAAACAGCTAGTTCGATTTTGAATTCAATAGACATAACAAACGAGTGCGTTAGATCGCTAGATGTGTTAGAAAATAAAGTGGAAAATTTATCAGAAACAATGATAGTTTTCATAATTGTTGAAAAATTTGATAAGTCGCTTCGTTACTGGTGGGAAAAAGAATTAAAGAATTCGGACGAATTCGGTACACTAAGTCAATTACTTTCCTTTCTACAAGGTCAAGCTAGAACGCTTCAAAATAGTAAAATGAAAGAAGGGAAATTAAACCGTAATTCGCAAAATAAAATTATGAGTATGGT